AAAGAAATGAAGTAATAATTGCATTTTAATGGTTTATGTATAATAGAGGACATTTAAATACTTGTTGCGTTAACCAAAATTTAACTTAATCAATATATACAAAATCTTTGAATTCTTTTAGGGAATTGCTAAAAATTCTTCCCATTTATTTAAGATCTTCATGGTTTTTATGTTATTAAGTTCTTTAAATTTGTAATGATTTTTTGAGAATTATATATTCATTTTAAATACAGAATGAGGATCGAAAAATGGAATTAACTATGCAATAAGAATTATTACAAGATGTAGAGGAATTTAAAGGGTAATTGAGCATTGAATAAGCAAATGTATGGAATACAGGAATAGAATATGAAATAACTCTTATGAAAATAATGTTGATGAATTGTCAAACCAATTCAGAAGAAGGAAAAAATTTATTAATAAATATTGTTAAAAATGTAGCTTAGTCAGCTTTGGCAATGTCACCTACTGAAGACTTAATCCCAAGTCTTATTGAAGGAGCTAAATTTTTATTTTTACAATATAAAGACAAAGTATTATATCCTGAAGAGGTATATGCTACTTATTATTTATTCCAAACTCTTAAATGGACTATCGTGAGGCAATTAAAATCTTAGTACTCAGTCTATAATTAATTGAAATAACTAAAAGATGCATTTTAATAATATATTCTAAATTCAGATAATTGGATCATTCATTTTAGTTGGATATCAATGATAATGGATATTTTAGCATATAGACCCATTCTCGATAAATTTGAAATTGTTAAAGGTTCTCCAATAGAATAATAATCAATGTGGAATAATTTAATTGAAAATAACTTAATTCTTAGTCTTCCATAGAATAGAAATTAAGGGTCTGCAGTGTTATTTCAAAATCAAGTAAAATATTTTAGCAAAGAAATAAACAACTTAATGGAAAAATAGAGTATTCCCAAGTTTAAATTAATTTCAGAGTCTCTTTTAAAAGGATAATTTTCAAAAGAAATTCATCTTTGGAATTTCTATAAAAATTTTAGCTTTAAAAAAAAGCAAGAAACTATTATAAAGGATTATGAAATAGTTTTACAAAATAATGATTTATTATTTATAGAAAAGTAAATTGAAAGATTTAATTCTTAGTTAGATGAATTAGTTCTCCTTTACTAATAAATTTAAGAATCATTTACAGATTATTTTACTTAATAGGATAATACATAGCTTTAAATCAAATTACTCTAAGATGATTATATCGTTTTTAGATAATAATTTTTAGATGAATATAGATAGGCCTTTTATTATCTACTTTTTATCATAGAAAGATCTACTATTGAATTTGAAAAATTAAAATTGCTTTTTCCTTGTTTTGAAAAATTAAAGTCTGAAGTTTAAGAAAAATTAAAGAAGATTTTTTAGAGTATTGAAGAATTTATTAAGGTTAAATTTTAAGTCATCTTGGAAGATTTTGTCTAAAATTTTCTAAAAGTGGTAGAGTATTTGAGTTATCTGTCTGAAATTAGTTTAAATCCAATATCAAAAAAGTAGGTTCTAGATGATGTAAATTCCAAATTTTTGATTCAAAATCACCTGAGTTCTTAATATAATTCCAAAAAATCATTAATATTATAATAATGCATAATAAATATAAAGGAATTTTAACAAAAATTTTGTTTCTCAGCATCAAGTATTAAAACACATGATTACAATATCAATTTTCCTCCTTTATAAATATAAGCTATGTCAAATACTATATGTTCAGGTTAATGGATTAAAATAATATGGTAATAATTAGTTACTAATTTTTCGGATAGATTTGATTTGGGTCAAAGTTAAGTTGCAAATAAAGATGATATTGAAAAAATTTATAGAAATTGTACTTTTAGCCTTTAAATGTTAAAACTAATGAAACAATTTTGCTAAATCCACTAATACAAAATTAGCACATTTGACTAAAACCTAGATGAGGAAAAACGTTTAGCCATTCAAGAGTAATAGAAGATTTATTAAGACTTTAAATAAATGCTTATCAAGTAGTTAACATAATAAAAGGAAAAATTAGAATATATTTTGAAATCAAAAGACCTGGATAAAGGAAGTAATAAGATTAAAGAAAAAAAAAAATAACTCCTTTAATAAATAAAAACGGATTATTAGATGATCCAATATGAAAAAGAAAATATTAGAGGCTAATAAACCAAAACAATAAAATCAAAAGTTATTAAATTCATGCAAAAAGCTCAATTTATCGTTTTATAAAATTAGAATGAATATTATGACTTTGAGGCTTTAAACAATTAAATGGAAAAATATGATAATGTTATAAGAGAAATTCAAAATAATTAAGGAGAGTTTGATAATAGTCTGGCAGATGTCAAAAAATTGACTTTCTAAAATTGGATCAGAAAGAATAAGCATTTAGATTTCTGTCATTTTTGTGTTGATAAAGATTTGAAAATGATAAAGGATACTAATAAATTACTGAAATTATTAGAACAATTATTAATGTTAATTATAAATTAACTTTAATAACCAGATAATGAAGAAATTTAAGTTCATGTCAATAACTGCAATACATAAATGTAACAAGTAGAATCCAAATTTTAAATTAAAACTTCAATTATTAATTTTATTGAAAATTTAAAGGGATAAAGTTAAGAAGAGAGAGAGAGTTGCAAATGTATCATTTAAAGTAAACAAGAGGATGATTAATAAAATCATTAAATTGAAAAAGGAAATGATTAATAAATTGAGTAAGTTGAATCAACTTTATAAGAAACTTTAGCTTTCTTTGAATTAAAATAATAAAGTTCGGATAAAATACCTCAAAATTTAGACCCTTTATACTTAAATATAATCAATAACCTATGCGAATAAGTAAAAATAAAAAAGTCGATATTTGATGTATTTGATTTAAGCAATGATTATAAAATTAGAGAATGCTTAGCTTTTAATTTAATAAAGTTATAGTAAGGAATTAAAGAAGACAAAATGGTAGAGTTTTCATCAAAACTGATTCAATACCTTTGGGTTTTTGAAAAAGATTAAAGAGTCAGAAATCTATTGAAAAATAAGGAATTAATTGAAATGTAAAAACTTTTTTTTTCTTAGGATATCAAATCTACATCAGAGTAAATAAAATAAGAAATAAAATTAAGAATCAACAGCATAGAAAGCATTTCATAAGAAATAAGACTTGAAGGAAATTCATAAATTAAAGAGCAACTTAAATAATAACTAAAGCTAGCTTATGAAGAACTTGAACAATATAATGATAATATTACTGAAATGTCGGAGAAAATGGATATAAGTTTAATATTTTTAAAGGATATCTCAAAAGATGTGAAGTAAATAAAAAGTTAGATTGATAATTTATAAGAGAGTTTAAATTAAGTTGGGGATGATATTCGTAAATTAAGAGGAAAAAGATATGATGAATTATTAGAAATAAGAAAATAAAAGATATTATTATAATCTAGATTAGCAGAAGTAGATTCTGTATATGTATAATTAAAAACTATTGAATATGATCCTGTTACTGGAGCAAGTATTAAATCCAAAGATGGAGTAATAATTACCAATTTAATGAGTGAATAATGGAATGATTTCACAGGAGAAGTTAATGAATTTATTTGGGATGAATCTAAATCAAATGATGTTATGTTACTTTCAGGAAATGCTGGTTCTGGTAAAAGTAAAGCAGCCAGAAAAATTGAAGAATTTCTATGGAAATAAAAAGAAATTAATTCTAAATGGATTCCTATCTTTGTATCACTTCCAACCTTAAAAAATCCAAAATATAATATATTTGAATAAGCTTTAGAATCTGAGAATTATTAATTTGATAAATATTAACTTAGAGAATTTAAAGATGCGATTTAAAATAAAAAAGAATATATCATTTTAATACTTGATAGTTATGATGAAATGAAATAGGATTGCATCTAATAAAATCTG